GCTGCTAAAAAGAACATTATTTTGTGTATTAATGAATGTTTCCTGTCGCCGATTACGTTTCCCGCCAGTGGCCATAGTTCTCAGAGTAATATGACACATTGTGCTCTACTTTTGTGTCCTTAAATGCTCGTTTTTTGGGTCGACAGCTTATAAAAACGTAGTTCTGGGTTTTTTAGCTTGTTTACTGTACACCTTGTCACATCGCAGCTTTTAGACATCGTTCTGTTTTTTGTTATACCTGTTTGGTATAACACCCCCCCGGTGGGCGTGGTTTTCAGATTATGACGCGTGCCGCTCTGTCTCTATAACGAGCTGGAGAATTTAAAGAGGCAGAAGATGTGCAGAAGTGTATTCCAGTCTTTAGGGCGTTTACATTAGTGCATCTAGTTTTTTTATTTGTAAATCATATTAATGTTAAAAAATAATTTAAAGGGGTCATATGATGCTTTTTCAAAGATCATTATTTTGTGTATTTGGTGTAACAGAATATGTTGACATGCTTTAATGTTCAAAAAACACATAATTTTTCAAATACTGTACATTATTGTAGGTCCTCTATGCCCCGCCTCTCTCAAACGCGTTGAACAGTCAATAGCAAATACTTAAACTAATAACAAAACAGTAGCTGATTCAGAAGCGCCAGATTGTCATAGCAATGTCAGAATTACCTCCTCTCCTAGGCTCACGAAACGGTCGTGCATTGCTGTTCTGTTGTAAGTGATCTTAAAGATTCCTAAATGCATCTACTTTCGGAAGGCCAAATAAAGTGCTTTTGCTTTCGCCTAGAAACACACAGCGTCTCTCTGACATGGCTGCTTCAACACTAACTGCGGTTACTGAAACCACGCCTTCTTTCTTTGCGTGCACATTTGGGCGCATTATGCAAATATTTTCACATAGTGAGGTAGATATGTGGGGGCGTGTTAGAACGAGCCGTTTTAGGGGGGCGTGGCAGAGTCTTAACTTTGATAAAGAATATCTCTTTGGTTTTGAGACTTTAGTCTTTGCAACTTCAGGGATCTTATCTATGCACAATCAGCTTGTAACACTCCAAAGAGAAAGGAAAACTTGAAATCGCATCATATGACCCCTTTAAGGGGGTTTACAGTATTTTGTGAATCAGTGTATAATATGTCTGCGATATTTAATACGTTCAGAGTTTATTTTGAGTCTTATTATCATGGTAATATCCAGCCCTATTCAGAACAAGTCAGAAATGACAAGGAGGCAGCTTCCCGCAATACAAAGTCAATGGAGAGCATTGGATTGTTTTCCATCCCGGTGGGCGTGGTTTTCAGATTATGACGCGTGCCGCTCTGTCTCTATAACGAGCTGGAGAATTTAAACCGGCAGAAGCTGTGCAGAAGTGTATTCCAGCCTTTAGGGCGTTTACATTAGTGCATCTAGTTTTTTTATGTTTATGTTAAAAAGTTATTTAAGGGGGTTTACAGTATTTTGTGAATCGGTGTATAATATGTCTGCGATATTTAATACGTTCAGAGTTTATTTTGAGTCTTATTATCATGGTAATATCCAGCCCTATTCAGAACAAACACTCAGAAAGACCCTCCCTGACCTGATGGATATTCGGTTGATGGTTCTCACACTCTATGGCCTTGTATTCACATGTGATAGATGAAAGTTTCATTAAAGGGATTCACGTACTTACTTACAGTATTCTGACTTAGAACTAATAGAAGTTTCCGTAGAAAAAGCAAACATTCTTAGCTATGGTATGGTAACAGACAAAAGGTTTGTTTAATAAGTAGTTTTAATAGCTAGAAATAAACTAAAATACGAAAAAGGTTAGTTTGGCAGCAAGGACTTCTGATCTCTCTTCTTGTGAAAGAGAATAACCACTTGTCAACACAAACAACAAGTTAGCCAAGCCCACAAAAGGCAGCAGTAGGATGTGGTCAAAACAAACCCATATGAATGAAGTCCTTTGATTGTACGGTATGGTCTCTGTTCACTTTTTACTGTAGAAGTCCATTCATATGTAAATGATGTCGTTCATTTGCATATATTCTTCTCAATTTATGCAGGGATTATGCTGAGATGAATACTAAAATAGACTGGTTTTGGATAAGCCTGTGGCAACATTTCTCTTGCTAAAAGTGAATCTGCATAATGACTTAAGGATAATAATTCAAGTTATGTGAATAAAGTCTCTAAATATAAAATATTTGCATATACATTTAGAAATATATGGGAAATTGTTAATAAAAGGGTTGGCTTTGGCGTCTTTGAGCATGTGACACATATTCCCTTTAGTGTGTTTATCTTTTTTGCCCATCCAGGGTAGCCTTCAACCAATAAAGAGGCCATTAGCCAAGTTGATCCAGAAAAGGGGCCTCAGCAGCCCGGCTGTCCCAGATTGAGATCCATCATTTAGGCAGATGCCTGTGCCTTTAGTCCTTCATCCAGCCAATCAGAGAATAAATAGCGGCCTGTATCAGATTACTTATGCTGACCAGCATCTCTCCTCCATCTCTGTTGATTCTGTCATGATACGAATGACTCAGCAGTACCAAATCACAGTTTTCTTCAGTTCTGTGAGACCAGGATGTTACCCAAAGCATCCTTCTGAGCTATTGGGAAGTCTAATTATGCCAAGGGGCCAGAGCTACAAGCCAGCATTTAAAGCAAACAAACTTTTATTATTTAAATTAAAATAAATAAATATTCATATTTAAAAATTATTATATAAAAATGTAATATTAGTATATTAAAAATAATAATATTTATTATATAAAAATATTTATTTAAATTATTTTATATATATTATTTTTATATATATATTTTATATACTATTTTATGTTATAATATTTCTTATAATATTTTCAAATCTTTTCCCCCCACCTTCCTGTCCTCACACACTTTCCTAATCAACAAAAGTGGCTTGAGGCCAAAGGAATAAAAATAACAAATCTGAGACCTATTATGAAAATTTATGTAAAAATGAAGAGACGTAATTGAATTTTTCATTAGTTTGTCTTGATTCAGCTAATTTGACCAGAATGTTAATAGCCTGAATTCGGGGACAACATCTGTTGGTTAATTCATTCAGTCATAAATCATGCATTATTGCCAGAGAAAATGTGTTGAACATGCAATGATTAGAATCGATGTTTGTGCTATGCAAATGTGTAATTTAGACAGACTATACATGACTGCACATCTCCACCATATGAGAGCACAGACATGAATCTAGACTTTGTCTTTGTTACATCTCATACTCTCGTTTTAAAAGGCACAGATGCCAGTGTCTACTATGTTTTTTCACAGATTCTTATGTTCGAGAATAGCTAAAGGTCAAGCTGATTGCATGGCAACAGGAAATGTGATTGACAGTTTCCATTTAAGACAGTGTCACTGTCACTCTCTCTATACTGCAATTGACTGGTTCAGATTTTTCCAAAGGGCGCTTGAGCACATACTGTCACCATAGCAGCTCTCAGACATGCTGTGCACATTGTCTGAAATACTGAAATGTGGTAAATCTACTTGTCTTTACTTGGGTATTGAGGGAGTCTTCCCTTTTCTTCAGCCAGAAAATGTGTTAATAGGCCCTTGAATTTCTTTACTCACTTCTGTCATTATTTTGATTTTGATTGTTTTATTTTGTTCTGTTCTGTGTTGTTTTGTGTTTGTTTTGTTCTGTTCTGTTCTGTTTTGTGTTTGTTTTGTTCTGTTCTGTTCTGTTCTGTTCTGTTTTGTTTTGTTTTGTTCTGCTTTGTTTTTTTGTTTTGTTTCGGGTCATGACCCACAACACTTGATCTTATTGAGTTACTTTTTATTTTCCTATCCATACATTTTGACTAATGTGAGCTTTAATTTTTGAAACCATATTCTGCTTTTAATCCGTGTCCAAGCAACTGACCTCTACTGTAGATCGCTGCCTAAACTGTATCTAGGAAACCAGTCCTGTGCATCACAGAGAAACATGATGTCGATTCCAGATCGTGGTATAAGTGATACTCTTGGTACATGTGATATCCAGAAGAACCAGTCGCTATCTTGAATGTTTGAATCCTTCACCTTGAGATAAATCTTTGGCTTTACAGACTCATGCTTTTTCTCTCTTTCTCTTTAGCTGTATGATGCCGTCAAGGTTTCTGAGCTCATGAATTATGCAAAGCAGAGCCCATTTCCCTGACACAGCCTGCTACACAGCAGAATTACTCAGATAGCACTCTCTATACCTACTGGCAGGAACAACCGATGCTAGTTCACTTCTCTGACACATTATATACTCCTCCTTCCTCACTGAAAACTTTACACAGCCTGATTCTGCTCATATTCTTGCTTTACTTGGGTATATATTGTAAAAACATTGCAGTCACTCATCCATCATAATCACGATGTGTTTTACAGTGGGTGTGATTCCTGTGTAAACATATTTATGCTACATGCCAAGGTTGGGAAACACACCTTTCATGTTATAGCTTCTAAAAGGAATCTCAATCAGTTGAAGTAATGCAAAAGTAGCACAGTATTGCAACGTTACATTCTCCAATGCTGATTATTTAATTTAATTTAATGTAATTTTTTATTTTATGAAGAGCATTGCATTTTTAAAATCACATAATGTTTTAACCCATCTGAAAATATGTGCTTCATTAATTTCCATTCAGTGCACGCATAAAGCTGAACAATAAAACAAAAGGCTTTCTGGAGCAAGAAAGGTGTGTTTTTTTTGTTTTTTTTTTGTTTTTTGGATCTTAACCCACCTCTGAGGAGCCAGACAGCAGGCTGTGTAATTTTGTGCTTCAGCCATGTGCATTGACATCCATATGTCAGTGCTGAGGGTGCTGCCATCACAGCATTCCCGTCTCTTCCAGCTGAGCGCCCTCACATGTCTCTGAGTATGTCAGGATGATCTGAGGCCATGCGAACTGTCCGTCTCCACCACGGATTCCCTAATAAAGATCTTGCCATCTATTTGTGCTTTTACTAGCATAAAAGGTCATTGTTGTTCTATTTGTTTTCTCTTTCAGTCTTGCTGGCTAATCGTGGATGCCCCTGTATGTTTGAATGATCACATTGAGTGCGAATCACAAGGCCCAGTTGCTTTGACCTGGAGCGGAAGGATTTTCATGTAACACACCCTGCCATGGATATGAAGAGGAGTTGCACGCTCTGTGGAGGAGCTGTGATGCTGCTGCTGCTGGGTCACATGACCACTGCATTAGAAGTGCCTCTAGACCGTGAGTATTGCACAGTGAAAGAAAATTAAATCTGATGTGATGTCATAAATCCCACTAATGTAGATATAATTTGACAGAAGTGCACAAAAAAAATCTAGTTTTCTACCTAACCTATTTTAAAATGAGAAAGTGATTCACATGTGATTCTGAAGACATTTTTAGACAAGATTAGAAATAAAATTAAAGATTCTCAGAATTTCAAAATTCAGCTATTAAAATGGAAATAAAGTAGAGTATGTTACTGTGAGTCCTCGCAGTACGTTTCTCTTTTCTCAGCTTCTGCTGCTCTCTAGAGAAGTGTTTCACATTTACATACTGACAGTGTGTTAAGTCAGCATTACTACTGTGTAAGCAGAATATACATGGACTTTTAGGAGCATTGGTCACCCTTTTGCTTTCTCCTTCCATCTTTCTATTTCTATCACTCACTCTTTGGCTGTGATAATCAACTCTATGAATATATGAGATATATAATATATGAGATATATGAGAAAATTATAATATATAATTGATATATTATATATATATAATATATTTTATATAATTGTATATTTTATAATTTATATAAAATTATATTATATAAATTTAATAGAATATATAATACTAATACTGTTAATACTGTTATTTAGCAATAACGCATGAAGTTGTTCAAAAGATTACAAATTTGTTGTTCAAATAAATGCTGTTCTTTTAAAATACATATTCATCAATATATATTATATTCAAAATATATCATTAATTCAAATAATCCTTAAAAAATGATCACGGTTTCCAGAAATAAATTAAGCAGCAGAATATCAACATTGATAATAAGACATGTTTCTTGAGCACCAAATCAGAATAATGATTTCCGAATGATCATGTGACACTGAAGACTGGTGTAATGATGGTAAAAATTCAGCTTTGCCATCACAGGAATTTCATACATTTTAACATGTATATAAAAAATTGAAAATAGTTATTTTAACTGTAATAATATTTTAAAATACTACTATTTTTACTGTATTTTTGATCAAATAAATGCAGCCTTGGTGAGCACAAGAGACGTCTTTCAAAAAACATTCAAAAATCTTACTGACTCCAAACAGTAAGGTTTAAGAGCTTTTCAAAGGAAAAGCACTTAAGACCACCAGAAGGAATGATTATTCATGTTTAAACACATGGGTAAAGAATGAAGCACATTTTTAGGATAAAGTAGTGCTAAGATTCAACTCCATCTTATTGTACAATCCCGAATTCTGAAATCTTCTATAGTCTATAATGTCTATAATGCATGAAGCACCATTGTCAGGGTGGTAAAATCAATGTATCATTGACAAACAATCAGCATCATCAGAACTTCATTAGGAGAATGAAATGGCATGAGAGTTGCATGATGGGTAATGAATGCCCAACACACCCCCGGAAGTTTCACTGAGGGAACCTGCTTTTGTTTGATCTTCTCTTCTCTCTTCTTCTCTTACACTAATTTGAACTCTTTTACTCTCTGCTTATGTATTTCCTGATTCATTTGGACAAAAAAGCTAAAGTTCTGGAGGGATGTAAGTCTGGGCACTTTTGCTGTGAAATTTATTGTGAATTAGGTCTACTTTAACTTGTGTCTTTTGCTTTCTTCATTTTGAAGTGTTTATGGGTTTGATGTGAATATTAACATATTTTATCCTTTATTTAACATTAATCACCCAAATATAAAGCTATATGTAAATTATAGCAATGATCTGTCATGCCAACAAGAACTTCCATGACAGTTTGTGTGCATGCTGCATGCTCTTTGGTTGTTCGTCTCTCTGGGTTTGGTTACACTGATAAACTAAAGCTGGGCACTTTTATATTTTTAGATATTTTCTTGCAGAATCAGTTTCTGCAAAGGTGGTGCATCTGTGCTGGTTTGTGCCAAGGTGTGTGTGTGTGTGTGTGTGGGAAATAGAGATGCTTGTCTTCATGCTGGTTTCTGTGCTTCAGTGCCTCAGCCTCCCACAATAACTCATCAGTCCCTCAAGGATTACATCATCGACCCTCGGGAGAACATCGTTATCCACTGCGAGGCGAAAGGAAAGCCTCATCCCAGGTGGGTGTCACTTTGAATCACCATGGTTACCGCTACTGCAGATTCCACTGCTGTGGATGGATGCTTGGCGCTTAACACCTACCAAAGTCTTCCTGAAAATTTGCTGAAAATGTACTCACCCTCTGTCTATCCATGATGTAGGTGAGTTTGTTTCTTCATTGAAACAGGTTTGTAGAAGTTTAGCATTTTATCACTTGCTCACCAATGAATCCTCTGCAGTGAATGGGTGCCGTCAGAATGAGAGTCCAAACAGCTGATAAAAACATCACAATAATCCACAAGTAATCCACACGACTCCAGTCCATCAGTTAATGTCTTGTGACACAAAATCTGTAATAAACAAGTCCATCATGAAGAGGTTTTTAACTTCAAACCTTAAAATACGAGTTCTCTATCCATAATATTGCTTTCTCCAGTGAAAAAGTCATTTCATCTGAATCAGGAGAGAAATATGCACAGATTAAGCACCGTTTACAAGCGAAAACAGTCCAAAACAGCTCTAAACAAATATGTTGGTGGATTTTGATGTGAGAGGACTACAGGGGATGCACTTTTCCACCAGAAGAAGCATTATTATGGATTAGGGGTTCATATTTTGCACAGAAGGAAAGGTTTATTAAGTTGAAATGCCTTAATGATGTATTTATTTCTTACAAGCATGCTGCTTTTCACTTCACAAGACATTAATTCAACAACTGGAGTCATGTGAATTACTTGATGTTTTTATAAGATGTAATGTGAAATTTGTGTAATAATTTGATTAATGCAAAATTCCTTCAAATCTGTAGTAAGAGACTCATTTACATCTTGGATGCCCTGAGAGTCAGTAAATTTCTGTACATTTTCATTTTTGGGTCATAAAAACATCCTAAAATTATAGCATAAAGTGACTTGTGTACAATGATGTAAGTCTTTTGAAATCATACAACAGCATTATGTGAAGAACAGACTGTAGTTTAACTTGTTTAAGATATAACGGCATTAATTTTGGACTGTTTCTCACACAACAACACTATTGTAAGGCTTCAGATGACTAGAAATATAGCACAAAAGTCATATGGACCACTTTTGTGATGCTTTATTTGTCCTTTATTTTGGAGTTTTTCCAGTGTAAATCAACAGTTTCTTGTATGGAAAAGAGCAGCTTGAACATTCTGCCAAATTTCTCCTTTCACGTTTCTCGTTAAAAAGATCTGAATGACTTACAAGGGTGGGTAGATATTCAAAAAGTTAAGGAATTAACTTTATTGACAAGTGATGATTGATTAGTGTTGTTGTAAATGAAAAAAAAAATCGATTGTAATGTCACTGTGCATGCATGTTGTCGTAATTGATTTTCTATTTTCACTCTTCTCAATCTAGCTTTTCATGGACACGTAATGGCACTCATTTCGATGTGGAAAAGGATTCCAAAGTTATCATGAAGCCCAACTCAGGCACTCTGGTCATTGACATCAGCGGAGAGAAGGCAGAGGCGTATGAGGGTGTTTACCAGTGCATCGCCCGCAACGAGCACGGCTCTGCCATGTCCAATAACATTGTCATCCGTCAGTCAAGTAAGACAGACACATCTAATTAGAATAATTTGCCACAGGACTGTTTTGTTCATGTTTTTGGAGTCACCTCCTGTCAGTTTTTTTTTTATTATTATTGAGGGCCCAATTCTGTTTCATAGGGTCCCCCTTGTGGTCAAAGGAGAAAATTGAACCAATCACGGTGCAGAGGGGAATGTCTCTAGTGCTGCAGTGCAGACCCCCGGCTGGCCTGCCTCCTCCAATCATCTTCTGGATGGATAACAGTAAGATATATCACATATATCCACATAGATTTGTGACAGTAACACACCACACATGTCAGTCTTGCACGTTCTAGTGTAAGCACCCACTGAATGTCTGATTTGGTTATGTTTTCATATACTTTACATGGCAACCCAAGTATGTAAAAATCCCTGCTCTGTTTAGCAGGTTTAGCTTATTGTTATTTTATGGTCCCTCTTTTATTGGCAAATAGTGTTCACAATGAACTTATACTGTATGCTTACTACTAAGCATACTACTCGAGTAAAGGCCAAAAATCAACTAAAAAACACATACTCTGTTTTGTCTCAGATTTCCAGAGACTTCCCCAAAACAGTCGTGTATCCCAGGCTTTAAACGGAGACCTGTATTTCTGCAACGTGCTTATGGAAGACACCAGAAACGACTACATCTGCTACGCCCGCTTCCCACACACTCAAACTATCCAACAGAAACAGCCCATCAATGTCAACGTGCTGGACAGTAGGTGTTTTTAGTCTGCTGATACAAATAGAGTCACCAATTTTTGTTCCAAACAAGCATCTGTGTAAATCAGTTTTTTAAATAGATTTTAAATGGAATAGGACTCTGCCTTTTTATGTTGAATTAGGCTTGCACAATATATACAGATTCATATTTATATGTTATTATTAGGGCTGTCAATCTATGAAAAAAAGTTTGAAGTTTAATTATATAATAAGTTTATTAATTTACTAAATTAATACACAAAAAATTGCATATATCTGTATTTGCCCCAAGAAAAGCCCCACCTTTCTTGATAAGACATTAAATATTGTGTGAAGCAGTGAAAAATTCCTTATTGCAGAATTTATGCGTACATTTTTAATAATTTTATTTAGTTTGTTTTAATGTATTTTTATTTAATCCCCCCCCCTTTATAAATAAAAAATACAATGATTTGGTACAGTAATTTGTAAAAAATAATAACACTTTGACAGCCATAGTGAGTATTAAAGTGACAGTGTCACATTGTCCCTTTTATTTTTAAATGCCTCTTCAGTTTTTTCCTGCTCTGTCTAGACCCGTAAATGTCAAAGCATTGCATGCTGATTATTTTCTGTTGTATTCCAGTTGAAGCTATGAATGACACTGTGTTGGCAGCTTTTTTGAATGGCTCAGATTTTTGGGGTGGTGAGTGCTAGCAGAACTTCTCCAAGTGAACCCAGCCTTCATCCCTCCCATCACTTGTGTTTCCACCTAACCAGGAATAGCTCATTACCTATTATATCACCTATAACCAGAAATATAACCCACTTCTCTAGAATCCCAACCCTGACCTCAAACAACTTCATCTTTATGAAGGTCTCATGCTTTACTGCACTTGGTATTAATATCCATTTAATTGCATCTTCTTAATGAAAACTGATTTTGTCAGATTTAACAAAAGGACTGAAGCCAGCACTACAGGAGTTGACTATCATTGGCATTGTGTAACAAAATTTCCAAGATTACTGTATATGAATGGTAATCAGTCCTTTTTCATTGTTTTAATTGTCTAATTAACATTTCGGCAGTGTCTACACATCTACTGGTTACTAAACTTTCTCCTTTCCCTGTTTTAAACTGAATACATGTATTAGTGTTGCATATTACATTCCGTATGCAACACTGTATAAGGTACTATAAAATATCTCACTAAAACATTGTTCATTTCTATTATATTTTTCATTTGGATCCTTCCATTCTCTTTTAAATGCCATCCAAAAGAAGCAATGGAAGGATAAAATTATTGTCATTCAATATGAGGTTCACTTGATAAAAGACATAAGGGCAATTTTTTAGACGTCCCTATAAGTTTTCCATTTATAGTGTCAAATTTGACCAGCAATATGCTGTTTGTACACCTCTAGTTTTATCTACCTCGTTCGTGTGTGGTTTTGCACACCAAAACAGGATCTTTTTCCCCTCTCATAAGTCCTGGGCAATAGCTGGCTGGTTATAAAATATGTCTGATTGTGGCCTATCTATGTTCTAGACAGTCCATCTGGGGAGAGAGCACCCACTTTCATGAACCCACCAGGAACGCACAGTACCACCATGGTTCTGAAAGGAGACACGTTGCAGCTGGAATGCATCGCTGATGGCCTGTAAGTAGGAGGAAGTGGAAAAATGGCTTTCTCTTGAGTCGAAGAATGGCTAATGTGCATCTTACTGTGCTGTTTGGGTTTTTTTGTAACCATGTCCGTTTCTTCTTGTGATTGGGGTCAGATTGCATCAATAGATTTGCATAAACAGTTCAAAAGTGTTTGACTTTATTGTGTTTTTCAGTCCAACGCCAGATATCTCCTGGAGCAAGGTGAACGGGGACCTGCCAAGCGGCCGTTTTTCAGTTCACAGTTTCCAGAAAACTCTGAAGATAACGGAGGTGACAGAAGCGGATGGGGGAGATTACCGCTGTTTAGCCAAGAATCGCCTGGGGAGCAACCATCACATCATCACTGTAGTGGTCAGAGGTCTGTCACAGGACGTCTTTTCATCTGTCACATCTCAAAAATCTTGTTTAGTCACATCATTCACTGACCCCGGGATGCCATCCTGAACTGTTCATGGACTTGAGCTGATCTGAAAGACCCTTTGTGTTTCCTGTTACTCAGAAAATACTGGCTGGTTTGCCAGATATCTTAAAATATATGATGAAATAATTCTAATCTGTTGCATAGGAAGCAGTCTAAATTCCAATTTTTAAATTTTAAATTCCAATTATGTCTGTTTGATTTGAAAACTTTCCTTTTATCTCCACAGCGGCTCCCTTTTGGATCAGTGCCCCTCAGAACCTCATCTTGGCCCCGAAAGAATCTGGAATGCTCACCTGCCGGGCAGAAGGCAACCCTAAACCCACGGTCACATGGTCTGTCAACGGAATTCCCATTGAAAGTATGTAAAGCCCACTCACTTTTATCTATAACCACTTTCCGTGAACTTTATGTAGCTTTTCCAGTATCTAGCTACTATTTTCAACAAATATTTTTATATTGATATATAGGAAGTTCTGATTTATTGTTAATCAGTTTGTTTGTACAGTGCCTGTAAATAAAATGATTCTATAAAATGATCCAATAATCCTATGTTTGTTTTTATACCATAATATTTATTTAAATGTTGCTTATCACTTGCATAAACTAAGTGTTTTTATTTATTTGCCGATTTTTTGTTGTTGTATTGTTTCTGTTTAAGTTTATGCTTTCACTCTAATTAATTTTATTGTTTTTGTGCCAGTGGGAAATATTAAATATATGAACATATGAAATATATGAACTGCTCTGATTAAATTATAAATTATATCATCTGATATATTTAAAATAATGTAGTTTGCTCATTTTTGTTAGTAGCTTGTAGCACATCTAATTCTTTTTTAAGAAGAATGGTTTGATTATAGTTTAATTAGGAGTATAATTATGATGTGATTCCTTGATAGACTCACATAAGGACCCCAGTCGGAAAATCGAAAATGGCAATATCATCCTCAGTGATGTTCAGACCGGCTCAAGCTCTGTTTACCAGTGCAACGCCTCCAATGAGTACGGTTACCTGCTGGCCAATGCCTTTGTCAGTGTCTTGGGTATGTTAGTGTATATGCATTTCTATTCTATTCTATTCTATATTTTTCAGTTATGTATGGTAAATTACATATATTACATTACATTTCAGCTGAACCTCCAAGGGTGCTGACTCCTCCAAATCATGTGTACTCAGTCGTCACTAACAGTAGGGCTCTGTTAGACTGTGCTTCGTTTGGCTCGCCACTTCCAAAGATCACATGGTGAGATATTATTTTATTTTTTATTTGTTTCATTCTTTTTAAGTTTGCCTCTAATATCCAAACATGTTTACTGTGAGTTTATGTTGCATGGTGATTATGCTTCTGTTATCTGCAGGTTTAAAGACAGTCAGAGCATAGTGGATGGCGACTCGTACATCATTCATAAAAACAATACCTTAGAGATCAATGTGGCTCGGCCACTAAACAGTGGCAAATACACCTGCATTGCCTCAAACAGTCTTGGAAACAAAGAAAATCATGTTTACCTGGAAGTGAAAGGTGAGTGAAAACTTAATTTAATTTGTTTTGGTTAAATCTGTGTATTTGTAATATGCTAAGTGAATGAATAGTAGTAGTAGTAGTAGTAGTATGATGGGAAATATGGGGGAAATGAGCAAGATTTATGTTGTTTTCTTTCCGCAGAGGCTACACGGATCATCAGACAGCCTGGGTATAAAGTGGTCCAGAGAAACAGCATGGCTGTGTTTGAGTGTAAAGTCAAACATGACCCCTCTCTCTTTCCCTCCATGATATGGCTCAAAGACAATATGGAGCTTCCCGACGACACTCGGTATGACCTGCTACCACTGCTGCAATTTTTGTTCAAATATAAGCACCATCTGAAGCAGGGGTTAGCACCTGAGGCACTGTGCTTGATACAAGCGAGGGAGATTGTTTAATGTTTTATTTTGTTTATTTTAGAATTAAATTTTAAAATAAAATAATTTGCAGATGGAGCAGTTGGGTATTTGTTTCTTTATTGGCATTTTTCCTATTTGAAAAGAAATACACTACTGTAAGTTGTTTGGGGTCAGTAAGATTTTTTCTTCCTTTTAAAAAAATAAAAGAATGTAATACTTTAATTCAGCAAGGAAGCATTAATTTGATCAAAAATGACAGTAAAGATTTTTATGTTGTTACAAAAGATTTATATTTCAAATAAATGCTGTTCCTTTTTATTTATCAAATAATCCTGAAAACAAATGGATCAGTATCAAACAAAAAATAAATAAATAAATAAATTGTATAGCAAAAATATAGCAGTACAACTGTTTTCAATGTTGATAGTAGTAGTAGAAATAATAATAATAATAATAAAAACGTTTCCTGAGCACCAAATCAGTAATGATATGTGACACTGAAGACTGAAGTAATGGCTTCCATCACAGGAATAAATTATATTTTAAAATGTTTTAAAATAGAAAATGGTTATTTTAAATTAAAATATTTAACAATATTATTGTTTTACTGTATTTTTTTTTTAATAAATGAAGCCTTGGTGAGCATAAGAGTAATTTTAAAAAATATTTTTAAAAAACTTACCAACCCCAAACTTTTGAACAGTAGAGTACTGTATATACAGTATACAAGAGAAAAATTTGGAAAATTAAAATAAAAATCCATTCACAAAAAAGCACTTTTGATCTAAATGTTAACTTATGAGGTTTGAGAAAAGTAAAAATAACGAAGTCTCAGTTTATTTGCTCTGAAAGGTGGCCTGACTAGCAGGTGTGTGTTTGTGTGTGTAGATTTGAGGTGGGCTCTGACAGCCTGACTATACATGACGTGAGAGAGGACGATGAGGGCAACTACACCTGCATCAGAAACACCACCCTTGACCAAGATTCAGCCAGCGCCATGCTCACAGTAGTCGGTACGCTCAGTTTATACATCACTCTTAACACTCTCACCTGCTTCAGGCAGTCATTTTCTCAGAAACTGTACATTATACAATGGCTTCCTAGATTTTTATATGGGTGCTGTTGTACAGTTGAATATATACTTTTTGTATAATTAACTTTTGACTTCCTCAAACCTGCTTTCCTTGTCAGAGGCCACACCAACGCCACCTATAATAATGGGTAAAATGCACTTCTTTCAGTTCCCAAACCGGTCCCAAAACCATTTGATGCATTTGTATTTTTGCTTTTTTTGTTTATCCCTCATCACCTTCCTGATATGTGCTTATGAATGTGCTTTGTGGATGTTTCCCATTGATACATAAACTGTTAAAGGCAATTTTGGTTTTTAGTTTTCGCAAATGAGGCAGCTCACTAAACTTTTCCTGACCTCGTTTGGAAATAAAGACCTGTGTGGTTTCAGCTTTACCAACAGACTCTCATGGCAATTTGTGACTAATTTACATTTTGATGAGTTAGCAGCAAATTCGTACAATCTCATGTTTATGTATTCATCTGCTTACACCCCACTGAGTTTAGTTCAGTGGTTCACCTTGATGCTTATTTTTTCTACAAATTTTGTGTTTTTGTACGACTCAGATCGTACAAATTCATACGAATTTGCCACGAATTCTCTAAAATGTAAACTAAATACGTTTTCTCATGAGATTGGTTTGACACTTTAAAATCGTGCCTTTAACAGAATGTCACATTTCCGTCTGTGACATATTTTTTTAAGTTGGTGGTATATTCTTTTTTTTTTTATTATTTGGGCTTGTGTTGCATGTTTCTAATGTCTGGTGTAATTGAGCTGGATGGAGTTTTGTGTCTCATAAAATCTGGTTTTCCAGAGCAACCAGACCCGCCCACAGACCTGGAGCTGACAGACCAACGAGAGCGCAGTGTTCAGCTTACATGGACCCCTGGTGATGAAAACAATAGTCCTCTTCAATGTGAGTTCTTTGATTGTTACCTTGTGGTAGATCAATTGGTGATCCACGTAATAGGTCAACAGAAACATTTAGGTCTGCTTTTCTGATCCATTTTTATTGGTTACCTCAGTGTTCCTGATCCAATATGAAGATTCGCTCCACAAGCCTGGAGTATGGGTCAATATGACTGAAGTCTCAGTAACCAGCACCACAGCACACCTGGAGCTTTCCCCGTATGCGTATTACTCCTTCAGGGTCCTGGCACTCAATGACGTGGGACTGAGTGAACCCAGCGCTCCATCCAGACAGTACAGAACCAACCCTGCACGTGAGTTACCCTAGCATGAAAATAGAATCTTTAAACGTCCTTGTATTTTTATGAATCAAAGTTTGATTGTGATTCTCACAGGGCCTGACGGGAATCCATCAGACGTTGAAGTCATTGGAACGTCACCTGACAGTATGACAATAACTTGGAGGGTAAAACACTTATGATTTGATTTTATTCAGTAGAGTACAATCCAAAAAATAAAGGTTACAAAAGGGGGGTTTCACAGCAATGTTATTGAAGAACCATTTTAGGTTCCTTAGAGAACCAGTACCTTAGAGAATCAGTACTTAATCAGATCAGTTTTTTTAGGGTGAATAAGATTTTTTTTCTACTACAGAAAACCTTTGTGCATTGGAAAGGTTCCATGGATGTTCTTCCGAGGAACCATAGATCCCAATAACAAACCTTTATTTTTAATGCTATACCTACTAATTTAGCTGAGTTCCTAGTTCCTAGTTTACGTGGTTTCCTTTTAATGTCTGGTGACCAGGAGCTGACTGGGCTGGAGTCGAACGGTCCAGGCTTACAGTACAAGGTGAGCTGGAGACAGAAAGATCTGGATCAGCAATGGACTTCACTCACTCTGGCCAATGTCTCGCAATATGTGGTGACAGGAACGCCCACTTTTGCACCCTATGAAGTCACCGTGCAAGCAGTCAATGACTACGGTTCTGGTCCCAGACCAGAAGTGGTGCTGGGATACTCAGGAGAAGACTGTGAGTAAGCTTCAGAAAGCACTCAAATATATTTATTAGTGCTGTGAAATGATTAATCTTGATTAATCGCATTCCAAAATAAAAGTTTTTGTTTACATAATATATGTGTGTGTGCTGTGTATATTTGTATATATAAATACACACGCATGCATGCATATATTTAAGAAAAAAGGTTATGTTCATATATTAAATATATTTATATATAATATTAATTATATGAATATAAATATATACATGTAAATACATGTAAATATTTTCAAAATATATACTGTATGTGTGTTTTTTTATATATGCATTATAAATATAGACAGTACACGCATATTATGTAAACAAAAACTTTTATTTTGGATGCGATTAATCACGATTAATCGTTTGACAGCACTAATATTTATATCAAGATTATTTTAATATAACATTATTTCACATAGCATTATATTTATATTAATGTAAATTTAAATATTATTTTACATAATTTGCAGTGTATTTTATTCATTGTCATTATATTATATTATATTATATTATATTATGCTGATTGGGGCCAAAATCTAAACAGGCGTCACATGTACACATGTATGCACTGAAAATTTTCATCCGAGATGGTGGACAGATTCCTAGAAATATGGAATATACAGTAGTTCAAATTGTAATTACAAAAAAAAAAAGTTTTGTATGTCTTTGTCATCTTAGTACCAAATGTGGCCCCAGAGAACGTAAAAGTTTCGGTTCAGAATGGGACAGTGGCCGAAGTGCGCTGGGACGCTGTTCCTCTTTCAACAGTACAAGGGCGACTGAATGGATATAAGGTACTTACTTAACACAGAAAATACATTTACATCTCTAATATTATTCACCAATTACGGAGATCTACCTAAAGATGTTGACATTTGAGCTGCAAACAGTCTAAGATGTTGCCATTTTGTAGGTGAGTTACTGGAAAATGAGAAGCCTGCACAAGCAAGACCCTGAGCCCGTGAAACCACAGGAGCTCATCTTTCACGGGAGTGAGCCGGAGGGTCTTCTGATCGGCCTTCATCCCTACAGCCAGTACACCCTCAACATTAGAGCCTTCAACAGGAAAGGAGACGGACCCACCAGCTCCAATCACATATTTGAAACACCAGAGGGAGGTAGAGTGTGTACTTACTATATGTACTCACTTGTCAAAGTATGAAGAATTATTTAAAGGAAAACAATTTATATAAATTTTTTTTAGTTCCTGGGCCTCCTGCAGATTTAAAAATCAAAAATCTGAACCTGGACTCATTGATTGTGAAGTGGGTGCCACCTGTAGAATATAACGGTCACTTGACAGGATACTTGCTCAAATACCAGCCTAGTAAGTCTGAATTGGGTCATGTTTTATGGGTTTTTGTTGTTGATTTATAAAAAGATGCCGATCGCTTACACTTTTCATCCTCTCTATGTAAACTCTCCTCTCTCTCCTTGCAGTCAATACAACAGATGAACTTGGGCCGCTCAAAGAGCTGCTTCTACCAGCAAACGAGACCAGCATCACTCTGGAAAACCTCAAGCACAGCACTCACTACAAGTTCTATTTGAACGCCATGACTATCAAGGGCTCTGGCCCCACTGTCACAACAGAGGGCTTCACAATGGTGGACGAAGGTGAGGACTAGCTTTGTGAATGATTTTACAATATAACATTTTCAGGATTTGAGGCAAGGATCCAGGTGCAGTATTCTATCCTCAGCGGTGGCTTCACATAAATTGCAAGCAATATAAAACTTGTACAAAGGTTTGTGTTTCAATCCTCAATTTCCTGAATCGGAGTCTTCTTGTTCGTAGTCCATGTTGTACGTCTACAATATAATGCTTTTAATTCATTAAGGGTTGCATATTCTATGAATAGATTTAACACATACATAACATGCCATTTGTTCGTTTGTTTATTTATATTTGACTTATTTTTATATTTTATTTATATTTTTGTGTACTTTATATTTTATTATATTTTTAAACAATATTTATATTTATTTATAGTGCAATTCACTATGTCATATTCTTAATCAGTATTTTTATCTTATTTGAAGCACACAACTTCACAAAATTTTGTATTAATTTTTTGGAAACAGTGTAGTTAGAAAAAAATTAACTTAATTCTTTTTAATTCTAATGTTTTATGCAATTTTGCTTCTCAATTAAATAGATGCTGTTTTAGAGATATATTACAATTCTCTTGGAAAACAAGACAATAATGTTTAAGAAAATGTATTCATTTATTAATTGATTGATTGATTTTTTCAATTATACATTGATTTTTTTTTTTTTGCCTTTTTCATTCTGTCTGTGTATGTAAATAAGGATGTTCTGGCCTTTTAATTTTTCATGATTAAACTTGTTTTTTTTTGTATGTATGTACCTTCCAGCAGCATCATATTTCGTGACTTACTGCATATATTTTGGTTGTCAGGTGGCTGCTACTTACAGTATATTCCCTCTACCTTTCTCTTCTTTTGTCTCTCTCTCTCTCTCTCAGACTAGAAAGGCACTATAGCACTGAAAAGAGATAGATACTAATGCATGAACCTCCTCAGGCCAAAAAGCTTTACACCTGACTCGGCCTGCTCCATATGTCATGGAGAATCATGTTACCAGCAAATGCAAATTCCATCCCACTGCTTTCAGTAGGGCTTAGTTAGAACATCTGCTGTTTAAAGGAATAGTTCACCCAAAAATAAATGCTGTTGGTTGATTGCCTGAATGGCTGTATGCTGTTATTTTTTCTGTGAAACACAAAAGGAGAATTTTTGCAGCTCTTACAGTACAGTCTACAAGTCGGCTCCAAAAATGACAAAAAAGCATCATTACAGTGATTCACATGGCATGTGCAATATATTTCAAGTCTTTTGAAGCCACATGTTACTTTATATAAAGATCAGAATGAATTTAAAGTCGTTATTCACTCAGAATTGTTCCACATAGTGAATTCGAGAACTGAATAAATTGCAAAATAATAAAATTGAATAAACTGAATAAATCAGTGAATAAATTGCTCTTCTAAATTCGTTCTTTTGAATGATGACTAAGTTCCCAAATTGGACTAAGCTGAATTGATTAATTCAAATGATTCATGAATTGAACTGAATCACCTCTTTGACTCAGTCTCATCGTTAAAAACTCACTGCACATAATGATTCTTTTGGTCACAGTAACACTATTGTATGATTTCAGACGACTTGAGATCATTGAAGACTCTTGAACTACCATGAGAACTTCTCTGTACAAATGTCTTAAAACTTTAATGCCATGCAACTTGTTGAATTATTCACTCATTATCTTTCCACCCAGTGAACTCTAGTGAAAAATCATCATTTGTAAGTCGCTTTGGATAAAAGTGTCTGCTAAATGACTAAATGTAAATGTAATTCAAGAACTGCTACTATTCAAGAGTCACTTGAGTCAGTGAGTTCAATTCGAGAACCGAATCAATGAGTGAATCATTCCTCTGAGTCGGTTCTTTTAAATGCTATTTTAAGTTCACAAATTGGACTAAATGATTTGTTTATGAATTGAAATTATTCATGAATTGAACTGAATCGTAACATTTACTCAGTCGCAGTTAACTCACTGCAGGAGAAGATTATCAGTGAACGATGACTTAAATTTTGGTCCATTCATCACAGTAATGCTATCGTATCACAAACTGTTGCACATGAGTCATATGGCTTTCCTTTATTGCCCTTTTTGACAGTTTTGGAGGTTAACAACTGATTATTGTGTGAAAATGTTCATAATATGAAATTATTTTCAATTCCAAGTCGTACGGGTTTGGTGAGTAAATACCAGAAGTTTAATTTTGGGGTGAACTATCCTTTTAACTAGTGTAGACAAGGACATTAGATGTTTTTGAGTGTAGAGTGATGTTCAAACATATGATAAGACAGGCCCAGATCTCTCTGCCTTGACCCCAGCGTCCTCTCAGAAACACACAGTAACTAGCTCTCATTGCACCAGTGATCTGCATGTTCCTGCATGCTGTTAACTCAGATCTGTATTTCTCTTTTTCACTGCCTTGTTTTCTCTCTTTCTAATGTTTTGTGTTTCATGTTGTGTGTTTCACTATTCTCTGTATTCTTCCAGGCTCAGCCCCCCCTTTACCACCACCAACCCCCCCTGTCACTCAATCTTTGCAGTCCCCGTTTCACAAGGGTACAAACACTCCTGCCCCGGCACCTTTTCTCTCTTTCCTTCATTGTTATGCTTGTGTGATACAGTATTGAACAGGAATCTGTAGATGTTATACCTTTTAAAATCTCACAAGAAGTCACAATCATTATTTGAGCTTTACATGATTTACAGTATAGTAAAAAGTGAGTGATGACAGTTACATATACAGTACAGTTCAAAAGTTTGGGGTCAGTAAATTTTTTAAAGAGAATTTAATACTTTAATTCAGCAAGGATGCATTAAATTGATCAAAAATGACAGTAAAGAAATTTATAATATTACTAAATATAATTTTATTTAAAAAATGCAGGTTTTTTTTTAACTTCATATTCATCAAAGAATCCAGAAAAATAAATGCAGCCTTGGTGAACATAAGTGAATTCCTTCATAAATATAAAAAAAACGTACCCCAAAATTTTCAATGGTAATCTACTGTAAGTAATTTAAAAAAATACATCTCTAGTGATCCTAAAAAGACACTTAAAATCTGTGAATTTCTTTAGATTAGATATAAAATATAAAATCAAGTTGCATTTGCAAACAAATTATGCTGGAGCTTTTATTGGAAGCAACTTTGGTAACACTTTACTTAAAGCCTTTATGTATAATGCATTATAAAAGTAGTTTTAATGCATTAATGATGCTTTGTAATGCACCTTATGATGCATTGTACAATCTCATGAATAATTGTAACCACAGTTAACACATTATAACACTTGTCAGTTCATTGTTACAATATGCATTTTAAATTCAGTTATAATTATTTAGAACAAGATATAATGTATTACACTGCATATTATGCATAATTATAATGCATTATACCCTTTAATAACCCTTTATAATGCATTATACATATAGGCTTTAAGTAAAGTGCAACTTAATAACATATAAACATATAAAGGTGATAGTTTTTGGGGCCACTAGACTCTTTTTCATAATCTCTAAATTCTTCTGTCACTTGTATTTTTCCTTGTTTGATCAGCGCCTCCTGCTGGTCGGATGTTTGGGAGCGTGAACTCCTCGGTGGAGGAGGACCATGCTGTGATAAGCTGGGAATACTCGGGGCCGGATAGGAATGTTTATGTGGAATATGTTGTTGATAACAGTAAGATTGTCCTCCTTCAAATTTTAAAATTTCAATGCCATGTGAATTTTTCGCATATTTAAAATCACAGTTTAATTATACAAATTATTATTATACAAATTATACTATAATAATCAATAAAATCAACCTTTTTGCTATGTAATTAGTTTTGCCATAATCTCCCCTGCCGTCGGCCCTTCTCTCCAGGTAAAGAACCCTGGAAAACAGAGTTTGTAAATGGCACTCGGACATATCAGATTAAAGGACTAAAGCCGGGGATGTCCTATAGGGTTCGGGTGGTAGCCAAAGACCACTCGGACACTACGGTCCACAGTACAGAGGAGATGTTGATTACAGTTCCAGGTGAGGAGACCATGTCTGTAGACCACCAGCATCAGCCTCACCTGTCACTCACCCGTGAAGCCCCGCCCAGACTCAGTTCCAGACATTACCTGTAGTTTTGGTTTGGAATATTAGCAAATTACGCATGAGTCCAGATGGGTTTATGGAAATATAGATGCATGCCAGAATTACGTTTGTCCATCTTTTCTTCCTTCCTTTTTTCTTTGCCATCCTACAGCGGTTGTCTTATATATCGTCAGAGGACGTTAAATACACTTCCTCAAATCCATGTTTCTTGTTACCGTCATAAAAACAAAGATTTGAGGTTTTTGTTACCTTGATGTTCAGCTCATGTTCATTTTTACTTTACTGTAGATGCCAATATTTTGTGTTGTTGTTGTTTTGTGTGACATCTGCACGATAAATTAACCATAACATTTAAAATGAAAGAAAAGTGAGGATTGGTTCATTTTGTCCTATCTTTTTTCTGCAGCCATGACTAGCAAGCAGGTTGACATAGCCACGCAGGGCTGGTTTATCGGGCTGATGTGTGCCATTGCTTTGCTGATCCTGGTGCTCCTCATCGTTTGCTTTATAAAGAGGAACAAAGGAGGCAAATATCCAGGTAAGTGAATGTACAAAATTGATGTGTGAAACTGGAAGTTAAGTACATCTGTGTGGTGCTAATGCTGAATCTCAAATCTTTTAAACGATGCACAGGCCACATAAAAAAAAAAAAGTAACATAAAATAAGAAATATTTAAGATTCTGCATACACATGTGAACCCTGTGAACTTCAATACCATGCAACTTGTTGATTTTCCAATCTCATAGTAAAAGAAAAAGAAGATGCCCATCAAGACCCAGAAATCCAGCCCATGAAAGAAGATGATGGGACATTTGGGGAGTACAGGTGAGGAAAACAACTTATAGGAGTTAATCTACACCTATTTATATCACTTTGATAAGAAAAATGTTACAAAGTGTTAAAGTGATGTTGTTGTTGTTTCACGACTGATTGAAAGCAAACTTCTCTTGCTCAGGGATTCAGACCGTAATTTTTTCATTCCTCTGAGATGAATGTAAACATCTTTGGCCTCACCACAAAACAGCTTAAAGAAAGCAGGAGCAAACCATACTGTCATTATTATTGCTGAAGCAATGGAGTAAATATTATTGGAACTGGATGGTTTCAACTCACGATAGCTAATTCAGGACATAAATTCAGTATAGAAATATTATATATTAAATATTAATTAAATTATATATAATGTACCTTGGAATATTTGAGATCTTTCTAATTCAATTTCAGCTTCTGAAAGTGCCAAATCAGAATCACAATTGACAGCAGCCATCAGCCATGTTTGTTTTGCTGTCTTGTATTAACACATTTATTTCACATGTCCCATGTTTCACAATTGTATTTCACATGTCCTGTTCATGAAGTCCATCATTTGTTGTGTATTATGTCTCTGCATACATTTTTTCTTTACTGTAAAGTGATAACCTCATTGTCAACCATGTCAGTCTGTCTTATTTGTTCCTCCTGTGTGTTTTAATTTTGGGGGGAGTTCAGATCTACAGAAAGGTAAGAGGGGCGTTGCAAGTCTTGCATGCATAAAATCCTCCATTATTCATCTTCTAGTTACAGTAGAAAATCAAACAGATGGCTGTAAATTTTACGGTCAACCCAAACCCAACCTTGACTAAACTTTTAAATCCGAAAAGAAAAAAAAAAAAGAATTTTGCATAGTTATTTGTATTTTTGGATTGCATATAGTGATTTGACTTTGTTTTATTTATATTTTACTGCTTTTGTTTAGAAATCCTCAATGGTTATTTTATGGTTTTTCCAGTTTTGAGAGAAGTGGTTTATGCATTATGATGAATGTGGCCAAATTTACCCTTCCGAATGCACGTTATGACCAGTTATGAACATGCCTTCCGGATATAAGAGAGACGCATTGTGAAAATACCTGCACTAAACAGCATGTTGGAAATGGACATGTTGAATCCACTATCTCGTTTAGATGGTTTAAATTGTGCTATTGTAATATCCTCCCCTCCCCTCCCCTTGTCTCTACTCTTTACATCAGTGACACGGAGGATCACAAGCCCTTGAAAGGCAGCCGGACCCCATCCAATGGGACGGTCAAGAAGGACGACAGTGACGACAGCCTGGTGGATTACGGCGAGGGAGGAGACGGCCAGTTCAACGAGGATGGCTCATTCATCGGCCAGTACAGTGGGAAGAAGGAAAAAGACACGGCGGAGGGCAACGAGAGTTCGGAGGCTCCGTCTCCGGTCAACGCCATGAACTCCTTTGTGTAACTGACCTTTGACCCATCCAACACCCCACCTCCTTGTCACACCATCATATGGAGAACAGTCTCTATTGCACTGTGACCCCCTAACATCACAGCAAAATAAATAAAACAAACGCCCCTAATGAAAGACAGTGAGAATGCGAGATGAGGGCCAGTCCAAGCTTCACCGCGATTGGTCGGAATGAGAGTCACGTGATATTGAGACATATTAAGTGTATTATCTCACAGCGAGCATACATATATATTGATATATGTGTACAGGAATATATAAATTGACATATATTTTATTAACATGGCCCCGTTTACGTCAGATGGCATTGTATCACACCATCTTGTCCCTTGGACTCGCATGGAATCAGTAATTGACGTCACACCCTCAGCATTAAGGTGCGGTCACATTTACAGTTATTCTGCAAATTTTCACAAGCAAAATCCAATCGTTTCAGTAGGAATCGGTTCGATTTTCCATTAGTAAACAGGTTCAAGTTTTCACGGATTCAAAGTGACTTCTGTGTGAACAGTGCCTCATTCATGGCTACACTATTGACAATATACAATGGACTTTTTTGCGCGCAAAACTTCGCTAATGTGACCGCACCTTTAGCCAGCGTTGTGGAGACCGTGAACCTCGTCTGACTATATGATACTCACTTTTGCTTCACAGCTAATGCCTGTTGCGTTCTGTCGTCAGTGTTCAAATCGGTATTATGCGCATTTCAGGCACCAATGTCTTTGTGGGCATTGTTGTGAAGTATGTAATACGTGTAAAAGCTGTTCTTAGGCGTCAGAAGTTTTGAATATATACGAAAAAAAAAATCCACAGAATTTAAAAACTGGTTATCAGGGATGTGAGGTAGCATGTTTTTAACACACAAGCACTCTACACAGACGTGGTTTTATCCTTTTCTCAGTTCTCTTGTTCATTTTGCGCCCTGTGTTTATTCTATTTACTTTACGACTACATTTTTCAATGTTTTATCCCTGAAGAAAAGTCATCGATAGACTAGTTAAGGTTCACTTCATCCAGAACTGTTATTGTGAAGGAAAGCCCCCCAGTCAGCCATGTAGCCACCCGTGACCCCACTCTGGGCACCAGAATTCACGCTGCTCTTGGTTCGGTTGTACAGTATGGGATGCATCGAAGGCCCCTCAGCACGGTTCCTTAGTGCCTTGGTAGAAAACATTATTCTATACTTAAAAACGAGATTCCCTCTCATCGCTTTGAGCGCAGCCATTTTTTATATCAGTACTGCAAGTGACACCGAAGTCCTGGGCTGAGCGAAGACCGCAAGACTTAAGGAGATTATGTCACCTACACAGCCGCCACAGAAGTCACCTCAAATTGGGGTGAGGGGCATCTCATTCCCCCTGTCGACAGCTAAAAATACTGCCACTTCTCTGTAAAGAGTGAACTGCTGTTGATTGGTCTGATTTGACACATTTATGGCAACTCATAACAGCAATGGAAATGACCAACTGTGGTATTTGCAGTGGCTTGTCCTTGGGAAGACCTCAACATATGCGATACCAGTAGGCAGAAATATACACATTCTCACATGTAACCGTTTTTTAAATCATGTTACTGCATGTTATGAAGTATTACGAGCTGTCGAGTGTAGTGAAATCAGGGCTTCACTAAACACACGGTCGACAGGGGTGCTGTCGTCAAATACGGCTTGAGTGTGTGCGGTTTATGCAGGCATGCATGAATATATGTGTGCGTTTGGAATGGATGTGTGTGAATGTGTGTTTATGTCTGTCCACTGTATATATGGGGCGAGCCTTTTTTTCTGGCAAGGCCCTAGATTTTCATGATTTAGCTTGTCATAACTTGCATCAAGTTTTTTAGTTTGGAATTGTCTGCTTTTTAATGTATAGATCTGACATTTGCTTTGTAAATATCTAGCCAAAATTTTGTTTTAGACTCATTAAAGGATGCCGGGGTGGACCGTGAATGATAAAGCTGCTGAGATATCCGATCATAACTGAGCCCTTGAGCATGACAGTATATCCCAGAGTGCTCTAAGGGAACTGTCCCAGCAATTTGTGTACTATAAGTCACTTCGGATGAAAAAAACCCCACTTGAAAAGTGATGACAACCCTATTTCCTGAGTCTGAAGAACAGATCAACCGATGATTGAGTATGCGTAAGGTAGCGCTGCAGAAAACCGCACAGTGTTCCACCTGAATTCACACACACATCAGCTCTTACTCTTTTAATGGCACTGTTGTTTTCTTTTCTATTTGGCCAGGTAGTTTATGACTTTTTTTCTGTAGGGAAAATAAGAAAATGGACGCATCCCCAAAGAAGGAGGCCGGATTGCACTGCTGTAGGTGCAGAACCTTTTGAAGTGTTTTTGTCGGAGGGGGCAAAGACGAATGAAACGTAGTGTGTAAAATAATATTCTGGTTAATGTTAAAGCTACATGGAAAATAAAGCATGAAAGGCTGTGAAATGGTTTACTCTATAATATAATCGCAAAAAAAAAATATTTTGTATATAAAAGGATTTAAATAAATGTTGGTTTCCGGATTTCACTACCATCTGTCTGTTTTTGATTTTATTCCTTATACTCAATAATCTTAATCAAAGAACATTCATTTAAATTAAAGAAAATATTTTTTGTTGCTAAAACTATTTTTTTTATGTCAAAGCGACTTTTAAAGTCAAAGATAATTCAAGCAGTTGAAGCTTTTTGTTTTGTGTATATATATATATATATATATATATATATATATATATAATTTTATTTTATTTATTATTAATGATAATGATGTGCAGCAAAATGTAGATAATGTAACCAATTTATGTTCATATTTTTATTTAAAATGGAAATGTACCCCCAAATGATAACTTGACAGTTTCCTTTTTATAATGAATTTGTTAATCTGGTTTTCATTTTCATTTTTATAATTAAATTAATTGATTTAAAATTGGCAGAAAATGCACTCTATACATCTTACCCCACTGTCCCTTAAATGTTATAAGTGCTAGAATAAAACCTTAAGCATTCACCCAAGTCATTTTGGCCTTTTTATCCGATTGGACTGATTCACTTATTTGGAGAGTCTTGGAAAAAATAAGAATAATAAAATACACAATATACGTATATAAGCCTATATAAAAAATAAAATAGAAAAAAGAATTATATACATTCTGCAGCCACATCTGGAGTGCCACAGTTTCCTCCCTGCACTGTTTCTACATACAAACAAACAACAACAAAAATCTATTTCTTTCCCTCCCCTGCCAGTGTAGGAATTTAATCCAGTGGATTTGAACAGATGTGTGTGCATAAGCCTCTTATTACCTTAAATCACCAAAAATCACGTGCTGGTCCATATACATTTTGAATTCATAATTCACAAGTGCCTTAAAATCACCTTGACTAGTTTGAGATCCACTGCAGCAGCACATGGACTGAGACAGCATCCCTCTGTGTTCTGGCATCCTGGCATGCGCAGCTTCCGCTCTCATCCAATAGCAGGCTGGAGCCGCGCTGGGCTGCGGGGCGACGCGGTGCTTCTGATCCAGGTCTGTGGGTTTGACGAAGGATTTAACGCATTCTTCCGGTAAGTTTGCTGCTCATATGATGATATGTGACGCTGTGAGGGTTTCTGGTGAGAATACGATCTGTCTGTGACCTTCAGGAGTTTATTCTGCATGCTAAAGTCCGGATGAAGGTGTTCCGCGCAGTTTGGGAATATACCGCAATGCAGAAGAACAGGGTGGACGAGTCCGGTCATAGTTGATGTCATCCCTTTAATAATAAAAATGCATACAATAAACAAACAAAATACACAATAAAAGTAGAATACATATTACAGGTATTATTGAAAAATAATAATAAATTAATAAGTGTGAATTCATACAAATTACATGATATAAGTTAGGCTATTTTTAACATACCGATAAATTTGTTAATTGTTATGCTGAAAGAAGCTGTGATGCGAGTTAATTATATGATATTTACTTGCCTAAAGTTTAAACGGGACAGAAGTTAGTCCTCGGTTTCCTGGCAACAAAAAGGATAGAGTTATCACCAATGACGCAGTTATTACCAAAATACACTTAATATGTTATGATCACACCAAACTCTAATTATAATATTTAAAAAACAAATGAGGAAAAGGACAGTGAAATTCAGCTATTTTTATTGCTCTCTTAAATTAAAAGGTAAATCCTTGTATTCCAGTGCGTTTGAAGATCATTCAGATCAGCTGTTAGATTTTTACTGCCACTCGCTTAGTATGAGTTTACAGTAGACATGCAGTGACCTAAATCCGAGTGTGCAGGACAAGAGCAGACAGCAGATCAGAGGATGCAATGAGATTATAAGAGATTGGTGAAAATACCATGCATAGAAGTGGACCCCATGTGCATAACTTCTAAAAACAATTATTTAGAGAGATGGATGGCCAAACATGTTCTATAGATGCATGATAATCTGACATATTTTAGGTGGCAGATAAAAATGTTCTTGCTCACCCTCTGCAAGCATGTAGCCTATAAAAGTGCAGTGGCAGCAAATAAGAAATATGCTGCAGCATGATTGCATGTAGTATATAGCAACTGTGTATGTGTTTATGCTAAAATTCAGATTTACCTTTCCTTTATGTGTTACATCTGCAGTCATGACTGAACTTGTGGGTGTAAACATGCATGTCTACATATGTGCATCTGTGTGTGAGTGAGAGAGAAGGTATGGATTGCTGATTCACTTTTAATATGGGTAGGATGCAATAAATTGTTAATGTTTCCATTTTAGACACAGTCTGCTACGGTCTGCACATCAGAGTGAGACAATGCAGCTTTCAGTAGCTTCAACACACTGCAGCTATACAGCATTTCACACACACACACACACACACACACACACACACACACACACACACACACACACACGTTCTTTCTGTTTTTCTCTTTCTCAGGCTTGGTTTTTAACTGTCAGATCAAGATGGTGACCCCAGCCATGCTTCTGTGTGTGCTCTCTTACTTCTTCTTATTGGCCGGTGAGGAACTGAATGTGTGTGTGTGTGTGTGTGTTTAGCTAAATTTTAGGTACAAAATTATTCCAAGATTTTAGCTGAATTCCTCTTGTCCAGATATAAAAAAAATTATATTAAATATAGTAGACAATGTTTTTTTAACTCTAAAAATTAGAGTTTGGGGTAGGATACTCCCACATACAGACATACAAAATTATGTTGAAAATTTGTTTCATTGTTTGTTTCAGTGTACTACTCTCCCTCAGGCCATCCAAGATGTAGATGAAGTTGTTTATTCATTGAAGCAGGTTTGGAGAAATTTAGCAATACATTACTTGCTCAGCAATGCATCCGCTGCAGTGAATGGGTGCCGTCAGAATGAGAGTCCAAACAGCTGATAAAAACATCACAATCATCTATAACACGACGTTCAAATAATACCTTGTGAAGTGAAAAGCTGCATGTTTGTAATAAATAGATCCATCATTAAGACATTTTTTTAATTCAAATTGTCGCTTCCGACTAAATTATGAATCCTCTATCTATAATATTGGTTTATCCAGTGAAAAAGTTGTCTCGTCTGAATCAGGAGAGAAATAAGCACAGATCAAGTGAAAACAGCCCTTAACAATTCTAAACAAACATGTCGGTGGATTTTGATGTGAGAGGACAACGGAGAAAGCATTATTATGGATTACGGACTTGTATTTTGGCCAGAAGCAATGGTTTAAATTTAAAATGCTGTAATGATGGATTTGTTTCTTACAAACACAGCTTTTTGCTTCAGACGACATTAATTGATGTACTGAAGTTGGATTACTTGTGGATTATTGTGATGTTTTTATCAGCTGTTTGGACTCTCATTCTGACGGCACCCATTCACTACAGAGGATCCATTGGTGAGCAAGTGATATAATGCTACATTTCTCCAAATCTGTTCTGATAAACAAACAAATCTTAACTTCTACATCTTGGAAAGCCTGAGGGTTGGTAATATTAAGCGACTTTTCATTTTTGGCTGAACTATTCATTTAAATTATCTATTTATATTTGTAATATATGACTAAATTTATTTAATACCAAATGTTAAAAAAAATTCTGCTAAAACAAATGATACAAAGTGCTGTCCAAGTAAATTAAAGTTATTCTGAAATGTTTTGTTTTTGTTTATTTTCAGCTGCAATTAAACCCAGGATATTTGAACCCAGAATTTTTGACAGTAAGTCTTTAACTTTTACCTACAAGTAAATACGTGAAATGAAGTATTGATGTTCTTCACCTTAGTATATTTTACCACAATCAAATTGTTGGGTTGTTTTTTGTATATTGAATATAATGCTGGCTCATCTCATGTCATGTCCATCAGAGGAGGCCACAGGCTTTGGGCCCATATTTGAGGAGGAGCCCTTGGACACAGTGTATGCGGAGGATTCACCAGAGAACAAAATCTCCATGAACTGCAGGGCACGGGCCAATCCTCCAGCCATTATCAAGTACATTTTTTTTCACTTCTGATCCTGCACTTTGTTTGTCATTAACTCTGGGAATTGCAGGGAGGTGTTTACTAAATTGTTTGCACTTGCAAGAAGAATCTTTGAGAAAATCAGTCAGAAGGCCATTAATAAAACACTGTATTTCACAGATGGTGGTTAAACAACTGGGAAATTAAACTGATGGAACAGCCTGATGAGCACTTTAGCCTGGTGGGAGGAAACCTGGTCATCACCAACCCAGACAAGGGCAAGCATGCTGGGAAATATGTGTGTGTGGCTAAGAACGTGTATGGCACTGTCATCAGCAAAGAGGCCACCGTCAAATTTGGATGTATGTGACAGATACAGTAGGATTTCTTATGTTTGTAAAGAATATAAACTGTTTCCAGATGTTTGTTTTGTCGTATTCTCTCCTCAGTTTTTTTTTTTGTTGTTGTTCTTTTTCTGGCTGTAGACCTCAACCAGTTCCCTACAGATGAGAGAGAGCCGGTGCGTGTTAAGGAAGGACAGGGAGCGGTTCTGCTGTGTTCTCCTCCCTCTCGCTATCCAAGTAAGACGTGATCACTTTTGTTTTAAAATCTTTGATTAGCAGTGCCATAGTACACACATGCAACCTTTTTTGTGCCACCATGATAAAAAGCAGAGAGAGAGAGAGAAAAAACTTTTGTCTCAAATTAAGATTTACTTACGATTAAGATTTTGGATACAATTTTACATTAAATAAAAAAGTAAAATGTACATTAAAATGTAATAAGTAATTATATAAATAAATGTAAATCATTGCAAATAATATAGCTTTTTGACATAATATTCAATAAAGTGAGTAAATCTAAATAAAAATGGTCAGTTTCTAGAGCTACTCTTAAAATCTGATTCAGATTTAATAATTTAATAACAATAATAACACCACAATATTTCATAAAGAATATTTGAGATATAATTAGTGTTAACACTTTAACTCTAACATTACGTATCTATATTAGTTAACATGAACTAACAAGCAAAAGTTAACAAACGCATTTATTAATCTTCATGTTAATTTTAGCATTTACTAATACATTATTAAAATCAAAAGTTGTATCCGCTGATGTTATTTAATGAACCTGAGCTAACTTGAACTAACAATGCACAGTTGTATTTTGATTAACTAATGTTAATAAAGATTAATAAATACTATACTACTAATAAATACACTTGTATTTTCCATTGTTATATAATGTTAGTCAATGCATTTAACCAATGTTAACTAATTAAACCTTATTGTAAAGTGTTACCAAATTACTTTAACAATATATACAAATACCATACTCTCGGGGAAAAAAGGTACAAAGCATGTCATTGGGGCGGTATCTTTTCAAAAGGTCCAAATATGTACCTTTAAGGTACTAAAAGGTATCGTCCCAGTGACAGCTTTTGTACCTTTTTTTTTTTTTTTTAAGGTGCATTATACCTAACAATCATAGAGGGGATTTATGCACACGTCCACTTTCCTTCCAGCAACCGAAATCTCATTTCTTTCAGTTGTTTTTGTCTCTCAGGTGAGGTGATGTTCCGCTGGATCTACAACGACTTCCCCAACTTCATCATACCAGACCAGAGGCGTTTCGTGTCTCAG